GCCATTCCGTTTTAAGTTCAAGGCTGGCCCAATGCTTTGGGATTGGCCATGTCTTTTCGGGTTTAGGCTACCGTGTAAAACTCGCTGAAGTTTCCGATTTCCACGCGTCATGCATGTTTTGAGTGTGGTTCTGGAGAATTGCCCTGGGCGAATGGGTTGCATCAAGTCCGGAGAAGTCAAAACAGTCGCAGGGTTGAACAGGACAGTTGAAGCCTTAGCAGCTTTTTGGCAGAATCTCTCTGCAATCCTGCGTCAGGTGGGCTGGGAGCGAGGGGCGCAAGCTGGTAAGTCTGCTGGACCCGGTTCAGCTTTTCCTGTGGAAGGTGGCCGTGCTCATGATGTTTTTCTGTTTGGCCCTGTGTGGATGCCAGGTGAAGCCATTACACATCAAGTAGTTGATCGGCCAGCAGGTTCCTTTGAAGTGCGACCTGGCCGTGGCCTCATCTCACCGGCCACCCTGGCGATGTCCTGAAGATGCCTCTTTGGATTTGGACTCAGGCCGTGAGTACGTTCAGCCTCAGTGGATCTTCGACTGCTTCAACATAGGAGCACTGCCAGCGTTAAGGTTTCTTATCCGGTGACCTTGCTCAGACAATTCGTAGTGCGGCTTTGTCTTGCGATTGCCCTCTTTTTGTTAACGTCGACCGACAACCAGGCAGTGCAACCTGCTTTTCTGCTGATGGGAGGCTGCTTGCTGCCAATTACTCCATACGCAGCTGGCCGCACGCCGCCTTGTCCCCAGCAGGATGAGTACAGACAAGTCGAAGATTCCCGTTCCTGCGTGCCGCTGCTGCACTGTGTGCTTACGTCGGACCTTACAGTAGTGGACCTGAGGCCGCCTCACCTTTCACCCTTCGTGGATGCTTGCCCGCCTCGCTTCAGAAGGGCTTGGAAGCCTTCGTCTACACTAGTGCAAGCATAAACGTCATTCATGAATCATCAGTGACACCGTCACCTACGGTGCCAGGACAAAGCCGAAGGTTATGTGCCACGGCAGCGCGAGATTTTGGATCGATTTGCTGCCGAGGACGGTCGGCTTGATTGCTACCTGTTGCGGTGATGTGTGCTCGTGATGGACCCTTTCCGGAAGGTGTCCGGGCAGAAGGATGGTGAGAAGGCACTGGGTTCAGTGCCTGTGGCTTGGGCGAGTGACTCATCTAGAGATCTGCAGGATCGAGACGAAGTCGTATCAAGCGCAGATGCTGGCAGCATGCAGCACTTCGGGGAGGATCTCGTCTCTGCCAGCACACCCGTTTTCGTTTCATGTGACTTGTGAGGAGTTGCAGGCAGAGTCAGAAGGTCTTTGGCACTCCGAGCCCCTGCCCCAGATGCCACAGATCGTGCTTTCTTCAGAATAGACCACGACGTGTTGTTCCCGCTCGAAGCGTAGGAGAGAGGCTTGAACAGGCATGTGCAGCGGTCAGCGTTGCACTTCTTTCTGTCGTTTGTTGTGTGGACTGCGTTGATCAGCTTTGTCCCAAGAACAGTAAACGGTGCTGCCAGTTGATTCCAAAGCTCCACCTGCGGCAGTTCAATTCAGGGCTGAGCATCTTCTGTAGGGTCGGAAATGTGTCGGAATTTATCTTAGCATGCATCTATCATCAAGCGTAGGAAGAAGCCACCGTGCAGCCCGGCCAACATTCTGTCGAAACATAGGATTTGCCGTTTGGGAGGGAGGGCCCATTTTCTGCCTATTGATGGAGGAGAGGAGAGTCACCGATGTTTGCCCTTGTTCGCACTTTGCACGAGGCAGACTTTGGGCTTGTTACATGAGTGTGAGCGGGAAGTAGCAGGGTCAATGCGGCAAGAAGTTGACCAGATGCAGATAGAGTCACACACCAGCACAGCAGCTGTTGTTATCATGCTAGTTTGCACATATGCTGAAGTGAACCGTCAATGAAGTACTTTTGGAGTTTGGATCCTGATCTCCAGTCAGCGAGCACGAGACAGCCGTGCATGCTACTTAAATCTCACAGCTGATCCCCCAAATCTGTCAACATCTAGACTCTTGCGTGACCGTTTCATTCTGCCCTCATCGCAGCATGCTCGCTGAGGAAATCTTGAATGCACGACATTGCTTTTGACAAGTCGACGAGCCGAGAAGAAGCGGTCAGACATCCCGAAACCAGCTTTACCGCTCAACATGCATGTATTGCATTCTTTGCGTTGTTGCAAGATCCCTAAGCTTGCCTCTTCCAGTGATTTGGTAGCAGGATGTGAACCGTGGCTTTTACCTGTTACCGATGACGTGTCTAGATTTCTCGCACATTCGGAGTTTGCGAGGTTCAGGAAAAAGCGCGAAGAAGCGGCGGCTGCGAACATGGCGGCTGCCACACAGGAGGCCCTGGTCTGAATGACTTTCCGTGTCATTTTGTGCATTCATGAACGGTCGCACGAGTTCATGAATGTGCATCCATGTGCATCCTGATGTTGCGTTGGAAGGATTCTGCGGACGTGGATGTTGGCCTGCAGCCAGCTCACAGGCATGATGTGCTATGTTTGCTTGAATTTGCTCGGTAAACTTGCTCGCAGTGTTTTACCAAGCTTGAGGCCTTCCGAAGAAGAAGAGGAGCGACTACGAGCAAAAGTGACTATGATTTGAAAGAGATTGTTGAGTGATGTTTGAAGCCGGCAGCATGAAATTTTGTTTGTCCTTATCACCATGGGTGAATAGATTTATGGATCATGTCACTGTGCTTGAAAAAAGGGGGAGTCAAAGGGTAAACTAGAAGCTGGTCGAGAGTCATGAGAACTTACCAAAAACGAGACTGACTGAGGCATTGATGCCAAAGAAGCACAAGCGATTGCTGCAGAGGATTGAGGCAGCTGAAGCCAAGCGTGAAGCTGCAAACAAGAGGCAGGCGGCCCCGCTCTCTGCATGTGCATGGCGCTATTTTGGACTCTCGAGCTGAGTTTGCGATTCCTCAGGCTAAAGAGGAAGGCTGAAGCCGCAAGCTCTTGAGAGAATGCAAGCGGAGAACAACACATTCGCTTTTCAGCAAGCGCAACGTGTCACCCTCTTAAGCCGGGATGCCAGCAGCAAAGCGCATTCCGCAAGACAACACTGTGTGTCGCTGCTTGTTTAGTTGTGTAGACATGTCCTGCCGTGAGTGTGTGCCAAGCATAGAACCGAGTGTCCAATTCATTTGGCTCGAGGCTCTTTTAATCACGATCTGATGGGCTTATGTCAAGACGGATGGCCAGACAGACATGCTGACCAACCCTTGGCCGATAGCCAAAATCGCATAGAGCGTCAAATTCCAACTTTCATTAACATGGGTGCAGCAGCGAATCGGTGCTGTGCCTCTGAACGTCCGCCCCGGCTCTGGTTTTCCCCAAGCTTTGCGAGGAGCGAGAGCCTTATGTGCCTTCACTTCCGAGCAGCCAGGTGACCGAGGCCAGAGAGGCCAGGAAGCCGATAGACGAGTTCGCTTCGACGGGGAGGCCGCTTCGTCGTTCGCACAGCAGCAGCAGTTGAGTGGGTGTGCGCGCGCGCGCGGGTGTGTGTGTGTGTGTGTCTCTGTGTGTGTGTGTGTGTACTTGCCTATGCACTTCGACTAGCTGAAAGAAAGCAACAGTAGCTTGCCAGTGGCTTTGTTGGCTTCGTGATGCTGACGGTGTAAGTCGCATGGCCTCGTGATGTGAGGATGCGCAAATGACCTCGTCTGAGAAGGTCCAGGTGTCTCGGAATGCCCTGCATGCTAGTCTGTTTCAGACTGCAGACGCGCTTTTCATGCTTTGAGCCGGTCTTTTCAGTACTTGACATTTGGGCTTGGGCCAGGTTCTCAGACGTGCTAGTCGGAGTGACAGAGCCTCCACTGCGGCTGCGAGCAGGCGTCGCCATTGCAGCCATTACATTGCAATCCCTCCCTGACAAAGAGACTCTAGCTGGTGGCTATTTCCCCCTCACTGCTTCAGTCTGCTGTTGGCTGCTGCTTGTTGAAGAGTCGTGAAAAAAGCACAGATCCTCTCCCCATGCAGTGTGAGAGCACAACGAGGACAGAACACTGCTGAATCGTCATCTGTTGAGAAGATTGTACTCTGGCTGTGGAGCTGTTCCGTTGGCGTGCCAATGCTTGCAGGCCTCCTGATCCAGCTCCGGGATCTCAGGCATGACACATGAAGCTTCCAGACAACTTTCCGCGTGGCTTTGAATTTTGCATGTTTGCAGAGTATAGACTGGATGAACGGCCATCCGAGTCTAGCTTTACGGAGCAGGCCTCCACGGAAGCAGCCCAAGCGAGCCAAGTTGCCTGATTGCATACTGTCTGATGACACTCCCACGAAGTTTCATCATGATGCTCTCGAGGTGCCTTGCCGAGAGAAGCACATTGCATGCCACAGTTTGCTCACAGATACTCAGACTACAGCTCATTAGCATCCAGTCGAGTGGCTTGGCCCCAGGTTTTGTCAGCAGCAGAGGGATTTTGAGTAGCATTTCTATCAGGACATGCCGAGCAGGGTCTTGCAGTGATCAAGCCGCAGTCAAGTCTCCATCTCGTATCGCTTTCATTCTGACCCACGCAACCATGATGATGTATTGTAGTGGCAACGGAAGCATGTAGTTCAGGACACTCACTCTTGGTCGCCTGACCAGACCGCTGGGGCCTCCCAAATCCGTATCAACTACTTGACCGAGAAAACGGTAATGCATATGACATCGTATGGTGCACCACGACGCTCTGCAAGTTTGTGACTTCACCATCTTCACCGACCTGTTTTCCAACCAACACAGAGACATCAACCAGGCCAACACGACCAACATCTCAATGTCTCAGGAGCACATCCTGCACGCAGGCAGCACCGACAAGTCATGCAGCCAGGATGTAGGACCCTGGCATTGTAGTGTAGCACACGTGTGTGTGAGTAGGAACGACCACCAGCGATCGACAGCAGCACGCGGCTCGATCGCCTAAACTTCAGCATTCCCCTTACTCCCTATCGCCCTTCTTGCGATCACGGCATTCTCCGGCCACGCCTCTTGGGCGGACTTCGCCGAGGCGACTTGTTTGACGGTGGTGGGCGGCACTACATCGTCGCCTCCGCCGATTACCTCTTCGCCAGGGTGTGCGCCTGCGCTGGCGCTGGGGGAATCGCCGGGAGCCCACGCCGCGCGACTCGGCAGGCATCGAGATCCGGGCGCTCTCGCCCAAAGACAGCGTACGACGCCGGCTTCCTTCGCCTTCAACCTCTTTGTCGGCTCGTTCGTTGTCGACTATGCCTGTGAATAGCGGCGCCTACGGCATCCTCGTCTGGAGGGGCTACTAAGGCCTCGACCGACCCGCGGACTGAGACTGACTCAGAGGAATCACAGAAGGATCTTCGGACACAAGGCCCGAGAGGAACAGGAGGAGAAGCGGAGGAGAACCGGAGGAACAGTGCCCTTCGCGGAATCCTCCGCCCTTTGTGCCGCAGGGCAAGCCATGTGGGAAGGCGCCGTTGCCTTTCCCAGTTGGCGAAGGGCACGGTTTTCAAGAAATGCCCGCTTGTCTTCCACATGATGGCCAGGGCGCTTTGGCTAAGCCGTCGCCACCGCCGGCTTCGTCGACGTCGTTAGCGGCATCGGCGTCGGGCCCGCCCCCGGTGGACCACGACCGCCTGACCCAGGAGGCGGAGTTCATCGCCAAAGAAAACGCTCAATGCGGTGGCTCAAGACCCGGCGGGAGGCTCCCTCGTCAATGTCCTCGTGCCCGGGCACTGCACTGCCCGGTCTCTGCCTCAGGAGTTCCATGAGTGTGGGGCGTGCTGCCCAGAGCGGCCCGGCGACCGCTTTGACGACGAGCTCGTCTGCTACATCTTTGTGTGGGTGGCCTCATCACCTTCTTCCTTCTCGCCAGCTTCGCCGCCATGGCACCTCCAGTCTCGGCTCTCCTCTCTCTCTCTCTCTCTCTCTCTCTCTCTCTCTCTCTCTGGGGTCCTTTGGGGTGGGACGGTTGGTTCTTGCCAGGCTCCAAAGCTCCAAGGCTCAAGTAGCCACGCCGCGGGCATAGAGCCACTTTGGCCTTCCCCCTTGTTGACTGCCACGGGGAAGGCCCCCAGGCTGGACGCCAGTTTTATAGGCTGTCGGCATCACCGCCGGACGTGGGCTACTGCCGCAGGTGCTGGCCTGACGGGTCGCCGGACTGGGGGTCAATCCTCATCCGGGCATCAGGCTTGTCGGCCGAGTCAGGCATTCGGCCTCTGACTCTCGAGTAAGGAAAGGGGAAGGGATGCCACAGTTGCGCTCGCGAGAGTTAACGCATGCGCTCAGCAGATAAAGGCAAACCTAAGGAACTTGGGGGGGAACAGGTTCGCAGTCAGACAGCGGAAGGAGGAACGCCATGAAACCAGCGAAGCCATAGACCTGAGCCAAGCATTCAATAGGGTCAATAGGGCCAAGCTTGAAAACCAAGCTCTTGCCACGCATCAGGTGGACGCTGATCTTCGATCCACGGTTGCCGCGACCCACGCAGGGCTATTATAGGCTAGCGCCGGCCCTTTGGGCACTGCTATCCTCACAGATCCTATGGGACATGACGCCACCGTCAGACACACCTATGAGCCTGGCCTCTTATGCCTTCAAGGTCAGGCATCGCAGCTTCACCCCCCAGGAATCGGAGAGACCGAAGAGTGGACGACCGGACCAGCCGCGCAAGTTCCACAAGGAAGAGGGCGCAGACCACCGCCAAAGAGCAAACGGGCATGGAACAGGCCGAGGGCCTCCTACTCGACCAGGACATGGGGGGGTTGGACGAGGACTCAATCCGCAGGATTCTCCGACTCCTCGTGCGGGCGGCAATCCGCCACGAACAGCAAATGATAATCCTAGAAGCGGACAGGTCGTACATCTTCTTTATCGAAACGAAAGATCTTGGCGTCGTGCAAATGCCAGTGTAAGCGAGCACGACATGGCGTCCAGGATTCGAGACTGGAACGGTGACCACCTCGCTGTGGGCGACGCTCTGTCTGGGGAGTCATGCTCATGGCAAAAGCCCGAGACGGACGAGCAAACGCTGTGGATGACATGGAGAACGCAGGATGGGCACAGCAGACTCCGCTCCAATGGTAGTGGAACCAAGGAAAAGCGTTCCCCCACAGCATACACAACCTTCCACACGAAGAGCGATCGCAGCAGTGTCGCGACTCATCAAAAACACCGCCAGAAACGATGTGGTGCATCGCTTTCAGTCCCTCAAGCCCCTGAAGCCGAATCTGCAGGCGGATGTCATCGTGATGCTGTTGACGCTGACCGTGCATCAACACGCAGCGGCGATCTACCAGGACCTCGACAGCCTAACAAACAACAGCGCGGGCAAGCTGATCGGGCTGAGGCTGAGGAGAGAAAGAATCAGCAAATCGGCACCGGCAAAGGAGTCAAAGGAGCTCGAGCGACTGCAGCTCTGATTGATAAGTGGCCTCCACCTGAATCCCAACAGCAAAGAGTCAACCAACCTACGGGGGAGCGGTCTCCGCGCCAGGTCCCGGGCACCAATGCCGCGGCATCTGCACAAGCGGGCTGTAATCCCAACACTAAGCCTAGCCAGACAGGCTCCGACGCAACAAGACCCCAAGCAGGGTTCTAGTGAGCACATAGCAAGCGCTGCGACCACTTCGGATGAGGCAGGCGACATTAAATGGACCAAGCGGACTCCGCGGTCCAAGCCGGTAATGTCCACCAAGAAAGAAGATGGCAGCACTCGGGGAAAAAAACAGCAGAGCTCGCTGGACGCTTGGAGAAGACAAGTGACGGGGCCGCGCACCGCAGATGCACAGTCTACGACTGCATACTCCACATAATCTCTGCTATGCGAACTCAGTGATTCATATGATTCATCAGGCCATGACCCGAATTGGCAACGTCACAGGCGTGGGCGACCTCAACGGTCCATTGGCACAGGCAATCAGGTCACAATCGACGATCACCTTAACCCGAGGACCAGAATGGGAGTTCTTGTGGCAGAGATGGCACAGACCAGCAATGCAATATGCACACGTACGGAATGTCTGGCCATGCGAGGTGGGTGGGAGGCACGTAGGCCGAGACGGGCAGCGTACGAGATTCTTGACGAGCAATTTACGTGCCCGCATTTTCGCCTTGTCCTTCATAGACCCGACGCGATGCAGCGATGGCACAATCAAGAAGTGTTGCATGCCCTGGTGCAACCTCCCTACTTCTCATTCTCCAGCTTGGTCGGCTTCTGCACACCAAACAGGGAGCAAGGAAATCCAGACCTCTCATCTCAGCAGGCATATCACGTTCCCGACGTTTACAGGCCATGGGAGTGTCGGAGTGACGTGGTAGGCACTAGATATCAATTGTGCGGAGGTGTCCTGCATATCGGCAAAGTCGTAACAGCTGGACACCACCACGCCTTTTACTTTCCTGAGAACGATGAGGATCTGTGGTGCAATCACCTCGTGCATGATGATGGTCAGTGCAAGCAAGAAAAAAGCAAGAATGGCGGAAAAGCGGAAGCAACAATGGAAGGAAAGCGAAGCGAACGGGGCACAGACGCCAGCGAACAGGCCATTCTCACCAATGGCGACCTGTTGGCTTTTCGCAGGGTTGGGTCCCTTTGAGTTTCGACTTGGGAATGTGGCCGCCCACTACCAAGAGGTCTCGTCATCATCTGACATCAACTGGTGTCATCTCATCTTAGTTCAGCGTAGCTCGTAATCCCACTGTTGAGTCACACAACTGACTTAACCCTTCTTGTAATACTGTAGCTCCGCTGCTGCTGTCGGGGCCAGCGGCTGCTTGCAGCGGATCGCTTAGGCGACTGCAATGATCACTGGCGCACCCTCACACTGCAGGGGTGATTAGTTCACACTCGCCCGCTTGACGGCTGACTCAGTCGATGCGCTTGAATGAATGAATGAAAAAACGATGCCGTGTCTCAGGGCGACGACTCGCGGGCGCGGGCTGAGGGTTGGACGAGAGTGCGGGCGCCCGTCGACGAGGTCATGCAGGTGCTCTGCGAGGCGGTGGGGGACATTGATTTCGCCTGCCATCACGCTTCTGAGCGGCTGTTGGGTTTGGCTCTTAGGTAGGTGCCGGCGCTTGGTGGGGCATGGGTGCGCAAGCAGAAGTGCGCACCCCGGCACCGGCACCGAGTTTTCGAGCGGTGTGCCCAGCCGGGTAGGAGTTTTGGCTAACACGTCGTTAGCATGGTGTTTGTTGTGTAGCACACGTCTGTGAGGAGGAACAAACACCGGCGATCGACCGCAGCACGCGGCTCGTTTGCCTAAATTTCAGCACCCATCCTCCCCGCCCTTGGGTGATTTTAACCGACATGTTTTCGTCTGAGCATCGGCCGGCACGGTGCTTCGGGGCGGGCGCAGAATTGCGCACCCCGGCACCGGCACCGAGTTTTCGGGCGGTGTGCCCGGCCGGGCGCAGTCTGCGCTACGACCAGAAAAGGGGCCACTGCACCTTGCTAGGAGTTTTGGCTGACACGTCGTTAGCGTGCTGTTTGTTTCACACCGTGCGACCACTACCTCCGACCTCGGAAATGTGCGTTGTATCGCTATATCGAGATTTCAAGCTTCTGCAGGCGACATTGAAAATACTATAAAAGCTGCGATGCCTTGGTTGAAAGACTCAGACGGTCCACGTTTTTTCCAAAGCATATGGATTCACCACAGCGGTTCTGAAAAAACAACCTAGACGTACTGCGATGCGGCATGTGAAACTCTCAGGTAAGTAAAATTGAAAGACAGAAGCAATGGCAGAGTGCCAGACCTGGCAGGATAGATGTTGCAGCGTGAATTTTAATTATGTGATATTTGCGTGTGTGCAGTTAGCCCGAGAGGACGACATCCTTCCACGTTGATTGGGGTCGCCCGTGCAGCAGTTGAGTTTTACATTGGTGAAAAAGCAAAGCAGTCCACGAGCGTCAAGTTGTGAGACCCGTCCGTCCTCATCACTGTTGCCTGCTTCAGTATGCAGGTACTTCGCACACAGCGTTCAGTCATGACTTCCGCAAGTGACATGTGAGAATAGTAGAGGTGACGAAACTGGAAACAGGAAGAACCACCGGTAAACCAGATGAGTCTCAGTCCGTGGAAAGTTGCAGCAATGATACTGCAACCAATATTCGTCCAATCCGCTTGTCCTCGGTGTCTTATTACCTTGGTCGAAGAAGTGGCTATTCTTGAGGAGGTAGCTTCAAAAGGTGTCACCGACTTTCGGCATGCGCTTAGTGGCAGTAGCACAATCTACGCAGATGGGGCGATGTCATCACAGGGATCCATCATGGACCATGTACGCATCTGAACATGGTATGCGGCATGGGAGAACAGGTAGTTGTGTTGCATGTGTTTGGAAGATGAAACATTGAGAACCCAGCATTTGGTGTCGCAGAGCCGTTTCTCGATGAGGCGTTTTACACGTTGTTAGTGTTTCTCCGGCTTTGTGAAATCTCAACTCAAAGAATTTCCATTTCCTGCACCTCGTGTTGTTTAAGTGCTTGATCCTGCAACAACCGCCTGCCAATTCAAGGCTGTAGGCTAAAGGCGGGTGACTGACCGAGGCTCGAACTTCCGCTGCGCGGCAGAAAGGAGCCAGACTGCTCAAGGCCGATAGAGCCGAACACAAGCCTATCGTTCTTGTGCAAATCGCTTACCACCTTGCAAGGCTGGCATTAAGACTGGTGAGGCTGGATGCGATTTTGCTCATGCATGCTGCCATACACCAGGCATCTTCCCACATTGGAAACGTTGTCCCAAGCTTGTCCCTGTCTGCGAGCTTGGTTCTTTGTCCAATCCCTTGTGACCTTGGCACACTCGCCTTCTCATCTGTGCTACTTAAGCTTGCAGAACTCTTGCATGAGAACAGGCCGCCCACAACAGGTCTTTACTTTTTCTCTGCGAGCATGTACATAGTTTTTGGCTTGCTTCTGTTTAGTAAACAGAATTATGATTGTGCAAGTGCAGACCTCAAGTAAGTTGGAACATCACCGCCCAACACTCGATCACTCGATTTATGGATGCGCATACTCGAGAGCACATGTCAGGATTGTATATCCAGAACGCCACGTGTGGACGGCTGGTGCGCATCGAATTCGGTTTGTCGGGAAGCACGTTGAACGAAGGCCTCTGGATTTGCGGAGATGACGTGCATCCAAAGATCTTTGCTTCCGCAGTCCTGTGCACGCGGTGTTGTGCAACAAGTTATCGCATTGCATCGATCTAGCTCTCTGTTGGTCGAGCAGCGAAGCACGGTTTCTGACGAATGGAACTACTCGAAAAGACTATCTAGCAAATCCACTTGCTTAAATGCGTTTTGGCTCGTGCGAAACTGCTAGTAGTCGGTTCAGCAATGCTATCGACAGAACTTCCTGTACAAGGGAGAACAAGACCACCATGATACCCTGCCCAACAGGAGCATGAGAATACCAAGCAGCGTCGTGGTGAAGGATTCGGCACTGTCAAAGTTTGGAAGGATCGAACTGTGTCGGGTTCTTCGTGTAGGCCAATAAAGCAGCGTTCGCCTTCATGGCTTTCGTCAGAAAGCCGCGGGTATAGAGTGGCTTGGTGCTTGACGATCGACTCGATCTCCAAGTGTCCTCGGCTTTCAATGAGCACAGGCTTAGGTGACATCGCCCGCAGAAGGCAAGGGATCGCAAAGAAGCTGTGGAGCGAAGCGCGCCGGAAACACGAGGGAAGGACGCAGCAGGAGAGGACAAGCGAGGCATCGCTTGGGGAACCGGTTTTACTTTTGAGGTGGAAGAAGAGAGCTAGAGGAGGGCTATGTGGGTTGCGGCTCAACCTGAAGGAAAGTGGCGAATGAAGTCTAACACCGCGGAGTCACGAGTCTTGCGTCCTAAATCGCCTAGACCGAGCCAAGAGTGACAAAACATGTATAACCACAGAAAGAGTGCGGAATGCGGAGGAATCTTGAAGCAAGACAACGGCAACAAGCCACGAGACAATCATCAGTCAAAGCACAGTCTGTTCAGAGACAAGAAGAGCAAGATTGCAGGCACACCCGAAGCAAGTCATAGGAAGCAACTGGCATGGAAAACCCAGTGATAACAGCAGAAGCACGACACACGAGAGAAACAATGGGAGGTTAGTGTGCCTGCTCTATACTTTCTGTGTGCATAATTGTCCGGCTATCAACGCAGCGAAGTGTTCTTTTGATCGGATCGTCCATGTTGTAGCGCTTCTCTTCGGATGATGGTTCCCGGGATTCCCGATTTTGTCTTCTAGAGCTTGCAAGAGAGTGGTTGTTGACACAGCATGCAGCTGTGCAAATAAAGTAGACCTTCTGATCAAGTCCTCCGTGCCCGGCACTGCAATACTTGTGCTAAGCTGCTGCATTGCTTCATTAACATCAGGTTCCAAACACGACTATAGTGGCGGACATTAGGACTTGCACAATTCCACCCTTCAAGCTTCGGGAAAGCTTGTGTGGAAGGTCAGCAAGCTGGTTGATGCCAAGGAGGCCGAAGAGGCTGGTGCCTGCTCATGTTGATTATGTGCATGTTTTGCAGTCCTTGATGCTTCCGCTGATCCTACGCAACTGTGGTCTGCTGTTGAAGCAGATCCCAGAATGGATGCTGCATGACAAAGCACTTGTGCTACACGCTTGTCAGGCAGCCAAGACAGGCGCAACAACTGCGACCGGTGAGGCGACGCCGACCCGTTTTGTGGACATTTGCCTGCTGTGTGCTGGGTATACGCGCTAGTGCAAAAGCCCTCGGAGAGCTAGTGCACTGGAATCCACCTGCGATGCATTGTGTTCGAAACTCAGAGGTTGCTTGGGTATATGCTCAGTCTCTGTGGTTTCTTTTGCGGCTAACTGTATGATGCACGGTCGAACAAAGTCGAGCATGCGATAGGTTCACCGGGTCAGTACGTACTGAAAGTGAAATGTGCTCTTGTGCAGGAAGAGAACCTTTACGAATTCTGAGTCGTCTGAGTCGACTTTGGTTTCACCGTAGCGAAGACTTCGATTGAAGGCGAAAGCAACGTGCCGGACGAAAAGCTCTCCAAGGATCTCTGAGAGTTGAGGGCCGCAGCGCAAGTGCCTTGGCTCAGTGACTACGCTGCACTCGGCTTAAGAAGCAAACTGTCCGAGTTCACGAATGCCACTGGTGCATCAATGACAGAGTCCGGGGCTTGAGCTGATACACCGCATATTCGTGCTTGCCTTGGCGGTTGGATGCGGTTGGTAGATGATGGTAAATGTCTTCAAGGCTTTGGAGGTACCGGTCCTTTTTCAAGCCTACACAAGGTTTGAAGTTGCAAGCTTCAAACGGCTGAAGGGCGCCACTCCCCAAGGAACTCAACCTTGAGCTTCAGACACCTATGTCAAGCCATGTGAGCGTTAGCCACTCTTAGAATTGCGAGTGACACGCCCGGCGCTGGAAAATTTTCCTTGGCCGGACATGTTGCACAAATGGAAAAGGCGGCCAGTCCAGATGTTTCCACAATGCTTGATTGTTTACTCGCGTTTTGGTTCCTCGCCAGCTTTCAACGAGTCGTTCACAGTCCACCTGTTGTGACTCTATGTGGCTTGCCCTGTGCTGCTGAGGCTTATATGGCTGACCACCGTGGCCAAGGCTTCCCTCCCGACATCCCGACATGGGTCACCAGATGCACTGTCAGCTTGCCCCTTGCAGGATGTCCTATCCATGTCAGCGCAGCTTCTCGAGGGGCAAGCCGGATTCTGAACGTGTCTCCTGAACCGAGAGTCTTTGGCACTCTAAGCAAGGTGCCGTGTCCACCAGCGAAGCTTGCGGCAGCTTTACAGAAGGCGAACAGCCTGTCCCGACAGTCCAGACTCCACACGCTTTTCCGACGAGGCTGAGGGAGGATCCCTCGGCTTACTAGATGATGCAGAGCTTCGGAAAGACTTTGCGACTCTTGGCCACTTTTAGATCATGCCGCGCCTCCGTGTTGTCTGCTGTGACTCCACAGCACTTAATGCTTAATACAGCGACAAAGGGTCCCGAGAGTTTGAAGACTTCCATGACCGTCCCAGGAAAGCCCTGGAGAGTCGAGCTCTCAGACCATTTTCTGGTCTCTGCAGTGAAAGACGTTCTGTTACAACAACATGACAAACTTAACGATAGTTCTCCGCAATGCGGCATCCGCTGCTGCAGACGGGGGGGGGCTTACCACCATCCCAATACCCCCCGTCCCCCTCCTCCCCAACCAAGCTAGGGACCTTACCACTAACTGCGGCCGTACCACCACCCTCCCCCCCCTCCTCATCTGAATTTAGGGGAGGGACGTACCACCACCACCACCACCCCCCCTCGCCCTGATTCTAGTAGTAGTAGTAGTAGTAGTAGTAGTCGTGGTGGTGGTGGTGGTGGTAGTAGTAGTAGTAGCAGCAGCAGCAGCAACAAGCAGTAGCAGTGGCAGAAGCAGTAGTCATCAAGCGTGTGGGTGGGAGAGGGTGTGAGGGAGGGGCTTGGTGGTGGTGGTGGTGGTGGTGGTAAGGGGGTTGGGTGGTTGTGGGCGGGGGGGGGGGTGGGTGGTGGTCAGCCCCCCGAGGCTTCTTGCTTGAACCCCCACCAAATCGAGAACTCTCGCAAACCCCGATGCAACCATCTCCACACGCAAAGTTGCCACAGCCTCGGCGTCTGAGTGGTGTAACATTGCGAAGATGCAAGCATGATGGAATGCTTGAAGAGAATTCCTTGACCTCAAGACCTCAAGACAGCTGAGCCAGCAGGTCCTGATACCGGCTTCCGCGAGATCACGGCTGAGCAGCTTGTCCTAAGACTTTGCGGGCCCGCAGCCACCGACATTCTGGCTTCTGCACGTGTCAGTCCCACTCCGTCAGGTGTGGACCGGTGCTCCTGGACATCTTCACAAAGGCTGTCCTGCAGCGAGCTGCATCGAGCCTTGCGACCTGATCGTTGCTCCGGGTAGCGGAAACGGTGCACTAGTTTGATTTGAGAGTAATTGTCTCTTCCTTTCGTGCTTCTGCAGGTTGTGCAGGACAAGCTCCAGCGAATACGATCCAAATCCAAGCAGTGGGTGGCAAAGCTTCCGACAGGCCATTCGGGACTCGGCAGATGGGCTTCGTTTCACCAGAACTACCAGCAACAGGCGTTGTGAGCTACAATGCAGTGCTCGAAGCTTGCAAAGACGGGCTGCCGGAGGCCAGCAGTGCTCTGTTAATTCAGTCGCCTCCGGATTCACTGGATGTATTGTGGTCATTGCCGTGACCGCTGACAGCCAGGTGCTCCGGCGAGACTGGGTTCTTTGGCATTCAGTCGGAAGTGATCACTATCCGAAGGAATGTAGATGTGAGCCTTGTGACATCTTGCGAGTGTCACTGCCCAATAGACAGGATGTGCCGGCTCTACCTGCAGAAGTGGCTCCCTCCTTGAATGAACATCGTACCGTGAAAGCATCCAGTCTCACGCTTCGCATGTCTGGAGACTCAGGTGAATGAAAGGATCGCTCGTTTGCCGCCCAGCAATCTGTTTCTGCAAGCAAGACCGTGCCTTCCCTGCGCTTCGAAAAGGAGCTCAGCGAAGGCAACCGATTGCCATGCCTCGCCTGTTAGTAAACTGAGCTTCCACTTGCTGAGTTTTGGCTTGTGCTGGCGACACTCCACTGGCAGATTTCGTCAGCTGCCCAGAAGAGCAGGGCATCGAATTCGTGACAGTGTTTGCATGCGTTGAATCGCTGACCTGAAGTCGAGGCTGTGAGGTCGCACGTTCTCGAGAACCTGGACAAGTACCCTACCGACTGAGGTTTTTCTCGTCCAACTTCTCGTGACCATGCATGAGGTCTCGATAGCTCGATATGTTCTCTGCCAGGTACCAGTCGTGGGAGGCCAATCACCTGCGACAGAATGGAATAGCTTTGACTCTGAACCCACTCCCGCCACTTGCAGCTAGTCCTTGGCTTCACATCTGCTTGACGTGAGTCCTACAGAACACCAGGTTTCATATTCATGTACCGCGACTCGCCGCCATCCCTACGTGTAGAAGCAGCGTCTTGCAGGCATCCATGAGAGCGAGTCAGCCGAAGGCCCAGACATTTTCAGAGGTTTGCTTGGACCGCCGGTTGTCAGGGCATGTTTCTGCTTGGATTGTTCCGTCATGTTCCGTGCTCAGTCATTGTTTTGGCTTGCTGCGGGACCTTAGGTCGGAATGCCTCAAGGGGTACTAGCAGCCAGATGCAGGAAACCTACAGAAAACGCTGCATTATAGCAAGAAGGCTCAACACATAGCAAGGCGAGAAACCCGTGTCTTTGTCCTTGTGCTGACCCATGTAGACCTTGTTTGGAAGACCATATTTCCGATACACGCTTGCACTTGAGTTCTTGGCTTTGCTTTCTCCTTTTGTTCGGGCAATTTCGTCAAAACTGTGTTTCCGACATGTTCTATCATTTTCTCACGGCAAAGACGACACAGGCTCTGCTCCGAACCACAGTCACTATTTCGCTCCTTCAATCTCTGATGATACTGCAGCTTGTGCTTGGGTAGCTGGCAGCACGTCCTGATGTGTAACGCACGTGTCGTGTGCGTGTAGGAACAAGCGTAAGCGGGTGACCGAGCAGCATCCCGGCGCGCAGTTCGCGCGTCGACCCAAAATGGGGCACGGCACCTTTAATAGAATTTGGCTGCCACGTCGTTAGCGGTGCGCTTGTTTCAAAAGATTATGCCATGCTGTGATGACCTGGTGTACTGCTCTCTTGCTGTTTTTGCGCGACAAATTGATTTGGGCTTTCCTTGCTTGTTTCTCCACCAATTCGCTCGCAATGTTTCAGGAGCCCTCCAGTGGTGTGAAGCTACCTTTCGATGCAGCTACGACCAAGCAGGCTGGGCTTTGTTGGCGAATGCTATTGTTTCAACTGAGGAAGTTTGCGTCGTGGTGTGAAAGCAGGTAACATTGCGCCGCGCCCTTGGTCAAGCCTTCCCCATCCAAGTGGCGACGGCGGTTGCGGAGGCTAAGCTTGAGACGAAACTGAACTGATTGGTTCTGTCTTTGGTCTTTGGAGGCCCAGGGTGACTACAAAGAAGTCCTCAAGTCCATGACTGCGAAAGCACGAGCTTCTGCAGTGCTGCCGAAGCGCTTCGGCTTGTCTGGGCCTTGTAGCGATCTTGTGAGTGATTTTCCGTTGCTGCAGGTATGTGGCGCCAAAGGACTCGGTCAGCTTTGTGTCATGTACTTTCTCCGTTGCGCAGAAAAGCCTCCCCGCTCTTCTTAGGGGGCCGGGAATGGTCCCCATAGTATGTAGACAGGCCCAGGAAAGAAACCTCAACGCACACGAACTGCATGATTTCCCTCGACGACAAAAAATTGAGTGCTAAACTGGCATGTCGTTTTAAAGTTGTCTCGTCATGCGACACGCAGTTTACTCCAGCCTATTGAGAACGGGGACCATGCGAGAAGTTGACGGAGTATGACGGAGCAATGTTTTCCTTGTGTGGAACTTGCTAGATTCGTGTGTAACAAGGAGAATCCTTGAGGAATCCATGAGCGACATGAGGAGCAAGGGAATTTCGAATTTCCAATCACGCGTCTGTGGCACATGGGAGGTCTGCTTTCAATGCTTAGATTCTAGAACCTGCAGCTGCACTCTAGCCAGACCGTAACCGATCTTACAGTCTAGTGTTCGAAAGGCTAATTTGGATCCCGACTGCATAGAAACATTTGTGCTGCCCACGTCGGAGCTTGTCTGGATTTGCTCGCGTCTTTTCTTACATTTAACATTCCGCAGACGTGTCGAAGGCCGGGGAAAGTCAATGAAGGAAGCCCCATGTCCAACTTGCCTTGAGTCTCTCTTGCCTTGGTTTTTGTGCAGGACACAGACAAGGATCCCAACAAGAAGCGGAAGGACGGCGTGTTTTCCTTGTTGGAGTTGCTCTTCAATCTCGGAGCTTGTGGGGCTGGGTGAGCACAACACTGCTCGTGCTTTGAGGCAGCATGTGCAGAAACGTGCAATGTCTGCAGGTTGGCCCTGCGACCGCTGGAGGCACGACAGCAAACGTCTCTAGCTCTGAACGGGCGGAGTTTCTGCGAGGAGAACCCTATTTACAAGAGTTGTTTGCACGGTGGCTGTTGGGTACTAAATTTGCGTGTGCTCACAACCCAGCACAGTATTTGGAGCGAATGCGGGGGTTAGCATATTATCGCCACTCTGTCCTGATTGTCGCGGCTTTTTTGTTGCTTTGTCGTGAATCTGAACAAGACGGTAATCCAGGAGCTTTGATGTGCCTCCTGGACAGTTCATAACGAAAGAAGCTATCTGTGCCAAGCACCAGAAAGCAAAACCGTCGCGCTGAGCTTGTCATGTTGCCAGGCACTCGCAGATGCGAGCACCGGTTGCATGTAGTGAAGCAGTGGGAAAAGATAGAGACAATGATGAAGCCGGCTGGACGAGACTCACCTTGTAATCTCGGAATGTGCCCAGCCCGACTCAAGGATGGCCATGAGACTTTCGCGTATGGACGAAGTTCCGAAACTCCTCGAAGCATAACCGATCCATACTGAGCCGAGGATGCTGACACCCAAAGGATACTCGGATACATATTTCTGAAATGCGACTACGATGCGAGCCTGGAAACAGCGATGCCAATCTTTGCATGATCGTGGTGTGCACCTTGAGCTAAGGCCTTCACAAGCCCAAACCCATCAACCGATCCCGGCCTTCTGACAACTTTTCGGAGATCGATTTGCGATTTGAAACAAGGCTGCTGGTCAGACCATCGCCAAAGATTTGTTGAACCCAGCCGTGCTGGTCAGCTCGACGTGCTTTCTCGTGCTTGCGCAGCAGTCCATCGCTCTAAGCGTGATTTCGAGAAAGACTCTCTGGAAGCCTAGTGCGGCAGAAGAGGTGCAGCGATCACAGCCGCAGCACAGGTGCTCTTTCTGCGCTGCACAAGTCGACGGAAAGCCAGGAGTATCGATGGCACTTGCTGGCCGGGGTCCCGGAAGGCTTCCATCTCATGTGCGAATTTTGTGCAACAAGGCCTATGGTCTCCATCATCAAACGACGCTGGGGAGCGCTTCGGCTTCCCGAGGAAGCCAGTCAGGCAAGATGAAGGTGGAGCCCATTCTTATGTATTCGGAGAGTGTGGGTGATGTTTATGACCGAGTAAAGGAACCTTCGGCGGCGCCGAAGTGTGCATCGTCTCAAGACAGACCGAAAGGCTTCCCGCATCACCAAGCAAGGCCTTGTCCAGTTCAGCTTGCAATTGCTGTGTGCAGGTTTTGCCGGAGTCTGGACTCCAACAGGTTAGGAAGCTTTCCAGCTGGCATTCTGTCGGCTGCAACATACTTTTGCTTCATTTTGGAGCAGGCAGCACCGCTCCACCTGGGCACACAGCATATTCCTGGCACCATCAAGCTTCTGGAATGCAGGAGGCTACCTACTGAGCCCTTTTGTAAGTTCACCGAGTCTCGTTTTTGCTGCAGCCTGCTAGTGACTGTTGCAGGGCTTCGCTACGATTTGGGCGGCCAAAGGTTCAGAGTGCCCGCCGGGACACACACCGTATTCTTGGGAAAAGGCAGTCGTGACTTGCCCGGAAGCTCGTGTACTCTTCCCTTTGCTTGGTGCATGTGTTCCAATGGGAGGCCATGTCGCCTGCATGATGCGCGGGCAGTTACAGAGAAGGCCTGCTTCCCAGCTGTTTGTACAAGGTTGGACTGTGGCCCCTCTAGAAGGTGTCTGATCTGCACTCTGACAGCCAAGTCGCTCTCCAGCATCGGCATCCAGTAGGCGGCAACCAGTTTCACCACCGACTCTAAGATTTTGTGTGTCGTTTAAAAAGTGCATTCAATGGTGGTGGGGTTATAAAACCGATAAGCACAGCTTCTGTGATGTGCAGGTAGCTAGTACATGTAAATCTGGTGTTCTGCATGCATGCATACGTACATATGTAGGGGTGTGTGTATGTACATATGTAGGTGTGTGTTTATGTATGCATGTACATGCATGTATGCACATGTATGCACAAACATGCATGTCTGTCTGTCTGTGTGTATGTATGTATGTATTTATGGCAATGTAAATGTAATGTAAAATTAATGTAAACGTAATGTAAATGTAATGTATATGCAATGTAAATGTAATGTACATGTAATGTAAATGTAATGTAAATGTAATGTAAATGTAATGTAAATGTAATGTAAATGTAATGTAAACGTAAATGTAGTGTAAATGCAATGTAACTGTAGTGTAGATGAAAATGTAAATGAAAATGAAAATGTAAATGTAATGCAATGCAATGTAATGTAGCGTAGTGTAATGCAATGTAATGTGATGTGATGTACTGCAATGTAGTGTACATGTTTGAACATGACTGTGGATCCCTGCTCCGAAATACGGCGGTGCGCGCAAAGGCGGCGGGCAAGCATTCGCGGACATCGTTTTCCATCCTGGGAAATCCGACTTGATCTGGATACACGGAGAATGCTAAATCTAGAAACATAGCCACATCTGGGATCAGGTATCCGAAAGAAGTCGAGTGGTAGCAGTGGCTCAGCGTGATCAATCGCTTCCCGGGACTCGAGCACTGAGATGCAAGCACTCGCCAGTCAAGCCGTTCACCTATTAAACTAAGAAGGTCAAACCGGGAACCCACAATCTGCAAGAGCATTGTCTCCCCTCTCCCCTCTCCCCCCTCCCCTCTCCTCCCCTCTCCTCTCCCCTCCCCTTTCCTCCTGCTGTTTTTTCGCGCACACCCACACACACACTCTCCCGTGTTTTGTGCTTTGAGATCCGATGACTCCTTGTTGGGTTGAGGTTTGGGATTGTGAGCTTAGGATTCTGGAGTCTGCAGCATTTACTCCTTTTGTGTTGTTGGGCTTGCCACCCATTCTGAGGCACGAGCCTGGTCCGGCGCAAGGCCTAAAGAGCCAGCCCCGGAGTCACAACGAAGAGCAATCAACAAGAACCAAAAGCACGAAACGACGACGAGATGAATTCCATCTCAGACGGGCAGTTGTGAAGGATGCTGCCGAGCACGCAAACGGTGGTAAGTGGTAGAAATGTTGTCTGCAGAGGCAATCCTGGGGGTGGCGACGGAGTAGACCCTACACCCGCACCCAGATGGCCGCCGTAAGTGAATGGGCCGCATTTTCGAGCATCATCTGCTACGTACTCTGTACTTTGTCTGCGACGTATCATTAGTTTGTAAGCACGTGAGTCCAACAGGCAAATCCCAAGCGTCATATGCGTCATAAACATGGCGGTTTCCCATGACATACGTAATCGTGCTTAACAAGCATGGCACGAAACAGGTTCTCCAAGTATTCAGCACATAAAGCAACCAAAGGGTAGACCAATGCATACTCGGTGTATGTGTGTGTGCGTGGGTGTGTGTGTGTGTAGGCTTTGTTTTTAAATTAAAGGTTACTGGCAATGCTTTCGACATGTAAGGGGGGCTGGACATGTGCATTGGTCGCCGACCCAAACGAAGAAGGCCTTTGCACATGCTGATATTCTCGGGAGGCGTCGTGAGAACGTGACGAACCTACCTGCCGTTTTCAAATCGTATGGCAACCAGGCTAAGGCGAACTTGGAAGAAATCATCATTTAACTACCACAGGTGTCAGATGAGTACTAAGGCATGAATTAAGCAGTATTCCAGGTCCTGGAAGTAGCAGCAGAATGCTTGTATCACTTTGCATCCACGGTCTCTGTGTGTCGGCCTTGTTGCTAGCGGGCAACTGACCCTTCTGGGCACGGCCAGTTTCCGGATTTTGAGCCAGGAATAACCAAGTACATCAGACGAGCAGGACTCATGCAGAGCATGCCAAAGTACCAGAGGGCGGGCCGTTGGTTTTTCTCTCCCTCCCTCCCTCGCTCTTTCTCTTTCTCTCTGTCTGTCTCTCTCTCTCTCTCTCTCTCTCTCTCTCTCTCTCTCTCTCTCTCTCTAAGCACCACGGCTCAAGACCGGCTCTACTAGCTGCGCTTTGTATATACTGCCGGGTGCCGTATGGCATGGCGTCTTCTGAG